TGTTGCTGTTGCTGTTGTTATTGCTGTTGTTGTTGTTGCTGCTGCTGTCGATGGTGAGGTCACGCTGGGACTTGCAGGATGTGACAGTGACTTATTTGTGAGTATCCACCATTTGCGCAAATACTGAACGAGCGGCGGCATATCCTGAACAGAGTCTGAAATGGCCAAAATATTCCACAATGACAGCGACTTGTTTTCCAAGCAAACTTTTCTGGTATTATTCGCTGTGGTAGTGGTAGCCAGGGCGTTGTGGAAGTATACGATATCACCCGGGTTAATGTCATTATTTACAGTGGTGGTCAGGCAGAGTTCTACCACTGCTGTTGATTCGTGGTGAATGATGGTGGGGTCGGTTAGCTGGAGAGTGTACTGCGGCTGTGAGGATGCAGTGAATGTGCTGGATGTTATCACGGCAAGCACGGTTATAGCGGTGGAGTGCTGGATGTCCTTGAGTGGAGTGGCCATGACTTTGGCGAGCGCGTGCAGGTAAGTGCTGGGCTGAATGAGGTGGTCATCTTCGGACGGCGAGCCGAGCGAGCGCATCAGTTCCATGGTGTGAGATTAATGGGATTAAAGTAAAAAAAACAAGCCGGAAGCTGTTGTGTTGTGTTGTGTTGTGTTGTATAATATCAAGATCAAAAATTTTTCAATGGCCAGCGCATAATTTGAAATGACAACCCAATTTGTAATTTGCATTGAAGGGGTATGGGAATGGAAAAGCGGTCGCATGCGACATTCATTTTCATTATCAATAATAACGGCTTTTATATATTTCTTATTTATTGACGTTTTTTTAAAGAGTACATTTAAAAAATGAGAATTCTAATTTCATTATCTTGTAAAGGCCTGCTTGAGCTCCTGGACACTCAACAGGGCGGTTCTCGCAACCCCCTCCAAATTAACATCGCCCCATCCTCTCTCCGCATTCTCCACAGCCTCCCTTTCATCCTGCTGGGTCAAGCACCTCAAAACCACCTTCTTGCTACTCTCCTGCACCTCTCCTGCCATAACCATCTCATCCAAAGCAAAATAGGCCTTTTGAAAGTTAAATATAAGATCCAGTTCACAAACATTCCCAAAAAAGCGGTCCAACACTTCAACATACCGGTGGATGACTTCGAGCATGATGAGCTCGTTATCATCCAAACCAATGCCAGAGATGAAATAAAGCGAGGCGTATTTGCGGTAGACGACTTTGGTATCGTTGTGTTCGATGAAATTGCACTGTTTGGTCGGTTTGCGTGTGAGAACGAGGTTGGTGATTTGTTTGATTGTGGACTGCTTCTGTTTGCTGCTTGTTGTCGTGTACCACTTGGCCATGCGCAGCTTGCCCTGGCGGCTGACAAGGAAAAAGTATTTGATGGGCATTTCGCAAAGCAAAGCGGGTGTGGAATTTAAATTGAGGGAAAGAGAAGGTAATAAAGGCAAAGAAAGAGGGAATGGATTGGGATGGGATGGGATGGGATGGGATGGAATGGGATGGAATGGAATGGAATGGATTGGATTGGATTGGATTGGATTGGGTAGGATTGGATAGTATTAAATAGTATTAAATTGATTTGAATTGAATTGAATTAGCACGGCTGGGAAAATAATGGTAAAAAAGAAACAAAATAAAAGATGAAAGCGGAGCAGCCGAAGCAAAGTGCTGTCCGCTTTGTGCGTGGCGAAATGGATGGCAGAGTTGGAGGTTGCGCACACAAAAAGGAGGAGGGAGGGGTGTGTGCCAAGAAAAGGAAAGGCACAGTTAATCTAATCTAATCGAATATAAAAAAGCAACCCAACCCAACCCAACCCAACCCAACCAAATCAAACCAAGTCGCCCTTCTAAATCACCTCCCCAATATCCTTCAGCAGCCGCCACACGACCTGCCTGCCGCGCATCAGGTTCTCCAGCGAAATGCGCTCGTTGTCCAGGTGGGCGTTGTCCGACGACTGGCCCATGGGCAGGTTGACAGCAACCGCGTGCGGCGCAAAAAAGGCCTCCAGCCACGGCACAGCCGGAATCGACCCGCCCTCGCGGATCAGCAGCGGCACGTCCTCGCTGGGCGCGCCGCTGGCGTCGGCCGCGCCCCACTCGTCGCGGATGGCCTTGGCCGCAGCCTTGAACACAGGCGTCTGCGGGTCCGCCAGCCACCAGTTGGCCACCGGCTGCACGTCCAGATGCAGCGCCAGCGCGTCCAGCAGCGCCGGCTCGGCAGCAACGGTCTCGGCAAACACCGCGCGGATGTGGGCGGTCAGCTTGGCGGCAATGTCGTCCAGCGTCTGGTCGGGCACCACGCGCACGCTGAGCGTCGCCTGGGCGGCGGCCGGCACCAGCGTGGCGTTGCTGCGCGCAGCCACGGTGGACACGTCGACGTGGTGGATGGTCAGCGTCGGGAAGCGCCACCGCTGCATCAGCTGGGCGTACAGCCGCGCCTGCGCGTCCTCCGGCGCGTGGCCGGCCACCGCGCAGCGCGCAACCAGCGGCGCGCTCGCCTCGTTGGCCGTGATCCACCGCACCAGCGCGCGCATGGCCTGCGCCTCGGCGGGCGCCACCGCGCGCACGGCGTCGTGGAAGCCGGGCACCAGCACGCGGCCGGCGCCGTCGGCCAGCCGCGCCAGCACGTGCGCCAGGCACGCCAGCGGCTCGCTGACGGCGCCGCCCCACACGCCGGCGTGCACGTCGGCGGCGCGCGAGCTCTCGATGCGGACGGTCGCGCGGATCGCGCCGCGCATGCCGTACGTCAGGCACGGCGTGGCCTCGCCGAGCCAGTACGCCGACGACAGCAGCACGAGCCGCGGCACGCCGAACAGCGCCCGGTGCTGCGCCACGGCCGCGTGCAGCCCGGTGCTGCCGCGCTCCTCCTCGCCCTCGATGCAGAACACCACGGCGACGCGCAGCGCCTGCGCGGCCGCCAGCGCGGCCACGGCAAACAGCGTCGCCAGCACCGGGCCCTTGTCGTCGGTGACGCCGCGCGCGTAGAGGAAGCCGTCGCGGCCCGTCAGCTCGAACGGCCGCGTCGCCCACTGCGCCTCGTCGCCGGCCGGCATGACGTCGTAGTGGCCGTAGACGAACACCGTCGGCGCGTCCGGCGCGAACCTCGCGTCCGACGCGTCGAAGCGCGCGTACACCAGCGGGTTCGCGCCCGGCGCGCCCGCCAGCAGCCGCGAGTCGGCCGCGCCCAGCTGGTGCGCCAGGTCGCGCAGGAAGCGCGCCGCGCGCCGGCACTCGGGCTGCAGCTCGGGCACGCCGGCCACCGAGCGCAGCCGCACCCACTGGGCGAGGGCATGCAGCAGGCGCGCGTCCGACGTGTTTGGCGGCGGCGCGGGGTCGGTGCAGGTTGCGGGGTCGGTGCAGGTCGCGGGGTCGCAGCCGATGCCGCCGGTGCCGCCGGTGCCGCCCTCGGCCACCACCGCCGAGGTGTCCCAGACGCCGATGCCGCTGCCGCCGGCCGCCACCTCGTCGTGGGTGCCGGCCAGCGCCAGCACCGCGCCGGCGCCGCCGTCGAACGCCCCCAGCGGCTGCAGGTCGCCGTTCCACACGCGGATGCGGCCCGCTGCGTCGCCGGCGTACAGGCAGCCGCGGCCCACGTGCAGCGCAAACACACTGGCCTCGGCGCCACTGCCGCCGCCGCCGCCGCTGCCGCCGCCGCTGCCGCCCGCCAGCTCGCGGATCAGCTGCATGGTCTCGAGGTCCCACACCTCGACGGCGCCGCTCTGCAGCCCGGCGAACAGCAGCCCGTCGGCGCCCAGCGCCAGCGCATGCACGCACACGTCGTCGTCGCCGTCGCCGTCGCCGTCGCCGTCGGATTCGCTGCCGCGCCGCAGCGTCGCCGCCTTGTGCAGCTTCGACGGCCCGCCGACGCCCGTCCACACGTGGATGGCGCCGTCGCCGCCGCCGGAGAACAGCGCCGGCTCGCCCGACGGCAGCCGCCCGGCAATGACGCTGTAGACAAAGCCGCTGTGCGCAAACGCGTGCACGCCGCCGCTGCCGACGACGTACGCCGGGCGGCCACCGGCCACCACCGCGCTGGGCGGCGGCGACCCCCGCACCGCCGGCACAACAGCCGGGCTCGCCGTGCACACGGCAACGGCAGGCGCCGCCGCCGCCGCCGCCGAGTCGGCGTCGAAGAACCGCGACCTGCGCGCAGCCATTTCGCGCGCGGCCAGCGCGCTGTCCGCCTCGCCGCGCCTGCCCACGTCAAACCACTGCACGCTGGTGTTCTGGCAGCCCAGCGCCAGCCTGTCCTCCTCCGCAAAGTGCGCCAGCGCCAGCACGGCGCCGGAGTGCTCGGCCGCGTACACGTCGTACAGCGGCTCCAGCGAGTCGGCGTCCCACGCGCGCACGCGCCCATCGCCGCCGCCGGCCGAAAACAGCACGCGCCTTTGCAGGTCCACTGCCAGTGCCAGGCAGCCGGCCGCGTGCGCCTGGATCGTGTGCACGAGCCGGAACGTGCTGCGGCGCCACGCGTGGATGCTGCCGCTTTGGGTGCCGCCGAAGAGGAACTCGTCGGTTTGGGCCAGCGCCAGGATGGACGAGTCCAGCGGCGCGCTGAGCGTCTGGATACTGCGCACGCCGTTGTTGAGCGTGTCCGGAGAGGCGGATTCGGTCGGGCTGTGGTGGGGGTGGTGGCTCTGGAGCTGGCTCTGGAGCTGGCTCTGGAGGGTGCCCGCCATGGTGCTGATGCTTGCGTGGGAGTCGCTGCGCACTACGTGGTGGTGGTGGTGGTGGAGGTGGCCGCAGAGCCCCGATATGCCGATGCCGCTGGCCTTCTTCTGCGCTGCCTGGAGCGGCGTTGATGCTGGTGACGACTCTGCCGAGGTGTTTGACCGAGAAAGAAACTCCATGGCGATGGTATATATGATGTGATGTGATGTGATATGATATGATATGATATGATATGTAATATGTGATATGTGGGATTGTGGTATTTAGAAAGAAAAATAGATAATTAGAATCAAGCGGAGCGGAGCTAAAGAATGATGATGCTAGGGAATGGTTTTCTTTCTGCTTCTTTTTTATTTTTTATTTTTTATTTTTTATTAAAAAAACAAACTGAGCAATCAAAAAAGGGGGGAAAAGAAACCCCGTTTTTATACAATACCAATAATCGCCGAGCAGTAAGGCAAAAAAAAAAAAAAGCACAGCTTCACTCGACTCGCACACAGACTTTTTACACTCTCAATTATATAATCGACATTTCTATCATCAATCACGACATTCCAGAAACGCCTCTTCCCCCATTTAAAATAACAAGAAAAAAGAAGAAATAAAGCCTGTTTATGAATCACATAAAAAACCCATTTTTTCCTATCAGCCATACTCACGCTGTACTGCCTCGTAAAACTGCATCACGTCTTCCTTAAGCGACGCTTGCACCACCAGCAGTGCCTTGTCGAAATCAGCCATGCTCTACACAAAAGCAAAAAGCAAAAAGCAAAAAACAAAAAAACAATTTTAGATTCTGGTTTTGCTTTCTCTCTCTCTCTTTGTGTGTGTGCCAGTGTCATCAGCGATCGATTGGTCAATCAACCATCCTAATCACATAATCACATAATCAGTAAATCGGCAAATCAGCAAATCAACAGCCAGCAGCCAGCAACTTTATCACTTACCACTTCTTCCGCACAAATGTCCTGCCTCAGCGCCAGCATTGCCGCTTCACGCGCCAGATTGGCCAGATCCGCGCCCGAAAACCGCTCAGTCCTCTGCGCCAGCAGATCCAGATCCACGTCGCTGCATAGCGCCATCTTCTTCACCTGGATGCCCAAAATCTCCCTCCTCGCCAGCAGATCCGGCGGCGGCACATAAACAATCCGGTCAAACCGCCCCGGCCTCAGCAGCGCATCATCCAACATATCAATGCGGTTTGTCGCCCCCACCACAAGAACACCATCCATCGCGCCATCAACGCCGTCCATCTCGTTGAGGATCGTCGACAGAATCCTTTCCTGCACGCTATCCCCGACCGATTCCTTCAGCCGCTTGCCCACCATCGACTCGATTTCGTCCAAAAACACCACCGCCGGCGCACTCGCCCGCGCCTGGCGAAACACCGCACGCAAGGTCTTTTCGCTGTCGCCGACAAACGCCGAATACAAAGCGGCGCCATTTACGGAGAAAAACGACGCCCGAGTCTGCGTCGCAATGACGCGCGCAAGCGTCGTTTTGCTGCATCCCGGTGGGCCATGCAGGAGCACCCCGCGCGAGGGCCGGATGCCCAGCCGCTGCATCGTGTGAGCGCGCTCCAGCGGCCACTGCACTGCGCGCCGCAATGTCTCCTTGATCTGCGCTAATCCGCCAATATCCTCCCACCGCGTCTCCACCACATCCACCGTCAATCCGCGGCGCGTCGACGCCACTACGTGGCCAAGCGCCCAGACAAAATCCGCCATTTCAATGCCGCCTTGTGCCTTCTTGTTCATCGCGTGGGTCGCCGCCTCAACACACAACGAGGAGATATCTGCGCCGACGTACCCATTGGTCGACTCCGCCAGCACCCGCAGATCGACGCTTCTGTGCAGTGGCATTAGCCGCGTGTAGTACGCCAAAATCCGCTCTCGCGCCTGCACATCCGGCACATCCACGCTAATCTCCCGATCAAACCGCCCCGGCCGCCTCAGCGCCGCATCCAATGCATTCGGCCGGTTCGTCGCACCGACAACAACCAGCCTCCCACGACTCTCCAATCCATCCATCAGCGTCAGCAGCTGCGCGACAATCCGCGCCCCCTGCTGCCCCTCCCCCCCACTGCTGCTGCTGCTGCCGCCGTCCTGCCGGCTAGCCGCAATACTATCAATTTCGTCTATAAACAGAATCGATGCTTTTTGGGGATCCCTCTCGCAAAGCTTTTGCGCCTGTGTGAATTTTTCGCGTAGCTGACGCTCGCTGTCACCCAAATAGGGGCCTAGGATTTCAGGTCCTTGAATCAGCGTAAGCTGCGCTCCCGTGGCTTTGCAGAGCTCCCGGATCAAGTGCGTCTTGCCTACTCCTGGTGGCCCGTAGAGTAATACTCCCTTGGGTGGTTCAATACCCAAGTGCACAAATTTATCCCGGTGCTCGATTGGGTACTGCACTACTTCGAGAAGACTCTGGAATGCTGCCTCTAGTCCTGGAAGTGAAAAAAAGATATCATCCTCCTGCTGCTGATACGAGTGATCTAGTGTTGTGTGATTTAGTTTTTCTGTTAATTCTTCCATTGAATAAATGAATAAAGTATTGGTTTTTTTTTCTTGTTTTGGTGCAAATATACCTTTTGTAAAATTTAAAATAAAAAAGTTTTTGGGGAGACTAATTTTTTTCTAATATATACTCCATCTCTGCAGAAATCTTAAATATCGCCATCTTGTGGGGGTGATATCACGCTTTTATAACTCGATTCAAAACAGCTTTAGTTTTATAGAAACACTGATTCTTTTTTTATTATTATAAAAAAAACTCATTTTTCGGGTATAAAAGTTAAACAAATAGCTAAAAATATGCTTTTCTCACAATTACATTATGTTTTTCAAAACAAACACTTGACTAAGTTTTTTCTCCAAATATTTCGAGTTTGTTTCTGTTACAAATAATTTACGTTTGTTGAATTCTAGGGGAAAAGTTCTGTGAACGTGTAGGGTGTATACTATGTATACAGGTGTATTGAATATAGAACAATGTACTAAAAGAGTACAAAAAACATACAACTGTGTTGTGTCACTTCACTGCGCAACTTATAAGTGATTGTGCGTTTTGGTTAAAAGGCCAATACTGGCTAATCACTTAATTTCAATCAACTAATAATGTTCTGTGCTCCTTTGGACATTTGCTTAGAATACTTAATTATTGTATATATATTCCAAAACTAACACTATAAAATAAAAAATATTTAAAAAACTTTTATATGCTGTTTGAATAGAACGGTTATAATTTGTTGATATATATAAGGACAGATATCAACAGATTTACCTGTTCGCACGACTGATGTAGCAAGCAACACAACCAGAAAAGCCGCAAAATAAAGTTAGTTGATGAGTGTGTTCTACTTCTATACCTTTACCTCTTTTAAAAAAAAATTTGCTAAATTTTCCTTAAAATATTCAAGACTGGTCATATCATCTAAAGCATTTATTAAATTAGGGGCTTTGTACAACACATATTTATAACCATCTTGTGGGCCAAGAAGTTTATTTTCCCGTATAATTCCTTCTATTACCTGTTTAATAGTGCTACCAACCGTATAGTTATAAGATATTTCTTTCGAGTCCCTAATATTTGTTTTAAAATAAACATCAGTACATATAATATTAAGTTTCATAAATTCATACGTTAGTCCCATTGTAGCGATTTACTATAGTTAACGTTTTGGCGATTTTTCACTACTAAAGGTATTATTTAATTCAAAAAAGCGAGTTTAAGGAAGAAAAAGTGAAATTCAATAAGAAAAATATTTTGCTTTTTAATATGCCTATTAATTAAAAATAAAAATAAAGTTTAGTCTCGCCAAACTTTATAATACAAAGCCGCACTGTGCGTCTTTCCACTTTAATTAAAGAAGTAATCAAGCTTCCATTAGAATTGCGAGCATTGAAGTGCAAAATAAAATTCATTCCCATTTGGTTGCACACACGCACATACACATTGAATCATTGACTGCCAATTATCCCACTCTTTTTAAAGCTTTTATTTAAAAGTTTTGAGCTTTCGAAGGGGGGTTTCAATAAGGTTTTCTAACAACATAATATCCCAGTTATAAGCATTTTTATTTGTTTAAAAGTATTCTTGTAAGGTTAAAAGGTGGAGCTGGGTATGAGGTGTGGCTGGCAGGAGTTGGCTAGAGGCCAGGTATACAACGCTGGTAAAGAAACTCCAAGGAGAGCGCGAAAAACAAGCAACGGCGTTTGTAAACGAGACCATAGATAAACAGCACGACTAGTACAAGGGACGGTGTGATCTGCAGGTTGAACTGGAAATGAAGGGATATTTGGCTCCTGAGGAACGCCAATTGTTAATGAGAACTGTATCAACAAACATCCCAAATACTAATTATGTGACAAGACAAAGGCGCCGGCCCTCCAAAGTGGCCACAGACAAATGGCAACAAGGACGGCAGATATGCACAGCGGCTACTACCTGGATACGATTGATGCTCTGGCCGGAAGATCGAGTGCTTGGGTTTAATTGTACTAACTCCCTGGCGGACACTTCCACCGCCGGGCAATTAGATCCAAGTCTAGATATTTCCCAACCCCACCACTCCTAGAATAATTTTTGTTATAGGGACATGTATCCAGGTCTGCAACAGAGCCGCATGATGGGCAAGGTGGCGTGGTAGACAAGCAGTCTTAATCATCAACTTTAGTTCATGCTTTTTTATTTGTTTTATTTCTCAATGTATTTATTTTCTCTCTTTAGTGGCTGATTGCTAATTGGAGTTATATTAACGATCGAATTGCGAAATATAATTGATAGGTTAGCAGAGGCCAACAACTATCGATATAGTGGGTGCCCACACGCCCACACTATAGTAAGCGGCAATGAGATGTTGAGTTGTTTAGCCAAGAATTAAAGAAGAGACATCTGATTGATAGTATTTTTTTAGGTTTCTGGGTAAGAAAAATAAGATTTGTGGCCGAAATCGGGCTATACCCACTATCTCAATAGTTGGCCCCAGCTAACCTATCCACTATTTAGCTAGCACGAATTGCACATGGCTCTGTCGAATCTATCACGGGTTGAATACCACCTATCCTTGGAGTTTGAACTGGCTGCGGCCATATCTATGCACTACGGATCCGAGCTCATCGGGGACACGACCTGCTGGTCCTCACATGCAAAGAATAAATAACAATGGAAATAATAATGGTAGTGATGGCGGAGTCGGCATATATATTGCAATCAACAATGCATTTTATAATCTGCTCATGGACGACGCTCAACTAAGCTAGTTTGCTCGTTTTCTCAATTAAATTAAATTAAATTATTTAACACAAACATTTCTTATTTTTAATAAATTTAAATATCCATTAATTTGAAGAACAGTGGATTCTTACAAGCACATACTGGCAAACAGCTCGGCAGCGTTGGCCACTTCCTCGACATGCATCTTGCGCAGCAAAACCTCCATGCCGCCAGCCCCACTGACAAACCCGAGGCTCTTCAGTCTTTCCCAGAGACTGCGCAATGTCCGCACGCTCCAAGGTATTCCAAACTTTGCAATGTTTACTCCAGAAGCGCCGCCCCTGCTGCTACTATCCTGGCTCTTGCAAATGTGCCGGACAAGCACTGTGATTGCTGAAAATATACTGAACATCAGCACATGGTCGTACCTCTCTGTTGGAATGTCATCGTTGCGGTCAAGGAAACAACACATGTCGTCGATTGCATCCAGGCAAATCTCCCATGACTCGGGTACTACGTCGTATGCCAAAAGACTGTCGTTCATCGTTGAGGAAAATGATGTGGACATCATTGCGCGGATCAAAGACGTATTGTCAACGAAGTCAGGACCCAAAAATGAGTCAACATTAAACCGAGCAGA